GCCAATAGCACGCTGCACAAAAAAGAGACCATTCACTTTGAAAGATACTAACAGTCTCTTCAGAGTAACAGATTCGTAATGAAGCTTATGAAAACTTATAAAATCATTTTAAATATGAAAATGTTATTTTACGCTGAGTAAAGGACAGCGCTTCGGTTGAGCAAGCTTCTGATTAAATTGCCTAATTTTCCAAGTTCATAACCATTTCATCATTTAACATAATTGATTTTTGCTTTCATAAGTTATATCAATTTCGTGTCAAAAATAAACAGAAATCTTGTACTTCAGTTATGCGCAATGCTGTTCTACAAAATCAACCGTGCTTCAACAAAAAATGTTGTTACTGTCATTTCTTGTCGAATCTTCCATTTTCAGCTGGTGGCCAGTCATCCACAAGAAACGCATCACTTTTAGCATCAAAGGGGGCCGCTTTGCACCAGTGCGCAAAGGGCCAGTGTTCAGTGAAGCAGAGTTGCACCGGTAAAAACTGCTCTTCTGAAGACGACCCTCAACAGCGTGCGTTGAATACGGCCAAATCCCATTTTGGTAAAGATTTGCTCAAATTGGTTCTCTGTATAAGTTTGATTGATTTTGCAGCGAAAGAAGGACTGGACGAAAAAAAAGAAAAACGCTTTGACGATCATGCAGAAATTTCCAGAGTGAGACGTTCGAAAAGAGAACTCAGTATTCAACTATACATATTATATAATATGCAGATTTTATGGACATTCTTAACTTGTTTCCCACCTCCAAAGAAGATTACATTTAGTGAGGCTTCATTGTCTCTCCAAAACAGTATTATAGCAAGGAGTAGAACTAATTTTTTTCGCCAAACTAGTTCATAGTAAGTGCGTAGACCAGGTCTTGATTGATTATATTATCTGTTAGTCAAGAAACGGGTCGATGATGGAATAAAAAAACTTTCGGTCTGTGTCTCACGCTTCGACAGTCCATTGAAGAATTATGGGAACAGGCAGTAATATTGAAACCTCCAGAAAGTAGTCATGCAGCTCGAAGCATCAGAGCGGCGTTCAAGAGCGAGAAAAGTGTAAAGAAGCACGTTTTCTCAAGAATGGCATTGAAATATGTTTAAATGACCTCCATGATGTGTCACATAATAAGCCTATATCTGTTTCTTGCTGAAAAAGGGATGTTTGTTTGTTATTATTTCGTCTTTCTTTCGTAAGTCTGTCATACACTGGTCATGATTTTATGAAGAAATCTTAAGGAAAATATTAATAGGGACCTCAAAAATTTCCTTCAGGTTTCGTTGTAAAAGTGTCGTTTTCTAACGCAGAATTTTGGCAGAAACTTGAGTTTATCATCCAGGAGCTGCCAGCAGCGCTTTGATGCAGATGAGATTATTCAAATGTGCGGACATTTCTCATCCCTTTGTCTACAATTGTTTACAATCACCTCTTGCCATCAGGCGTCTTTATCAAAGCCATCGTCAGCGAAGGATACTTTCTGCATATAATCAAGCTTGCGCCTTGTTTATTTTAGCAAAGCAATTGAGTTCTTCCGCAATACGTCTTAATTGTCCATTGAAGCGTATCCTCTTTGAGTTCAGGCAGATGACTCAGAAACTGGTAAATGTCGATATCTGGAGGTTATAATTTGTTTAACGTCTCGTTGCAAGCAAGTACTTGGGCTGTTTCGTAGTTGCATTTTCTAAAAGTGTGCTAAAAATGTGCCTGACAACTGTACTGATTTTAGTCACCTGCCGCGCCGGAACCCTACCGAACCTAATTAACGGAGTCCCCCAAATATGCAATGTCAACGCCGTTTCGAGCTGTCCCACTGGATACACCTGTCAGCTGTCATCTACAGGAACGACTCACTACTGCTGTCAGACCACAGTTCAACCTTGTGAGTGCAAATTTTCCACGCTCTTATGACTTTTTAAAAAGTTATGCTAAAACAACACTTTTCCATATTTCGATGCTCGATGAAATCCAAGTATTGAATTATCTGCTCTGAAAGTGTAATGACTGTAAATTGCCCATATGGATAGTCTCCGTCTATTATGAAAAGACATCTGAAATAGTGGAGCCTGATTTTTCAGGCATTTCGAAAGCAAAGAAATGATGGAAAATATATCTGAATTCTACAAGAAGTATATTGAACTTTCAGCACAAAGATTCAGCTGTTTTAAGACCTAGTTCAAATCAAGGTTTCGACCTCTATTGAGTTTGTTAGGGAGACACCGTATTGTCCAAGCCGTCTTTCGCATGGTTACGCAAAATGAAATGGGATACCCAGTTTTCAATCAACTGCAGATAACTGAAACATCTTCAACTTGTTGACGATATTATGCTGTTGGAGAGGAAGTGAAAGAGTAAGCAAACTTGTCTTGGATAGACAGGGCGAAAAGGAAGATGGTGAGAAACAAAACCGCAGAACCAGTTGTTATGATCGTCAATGATTACCTAGTAGGATTCACAGAGTATGTCTGTGTAGGGCAACTAATTATGTCAGAGCATCCATTTGGTCCAGTTAGCCAAAAGGCGTCGTGTGACGTGGATTACAAACAGAAGCAACGCTGACATTCTGGAAAGCAGACAGTAATCAGTGGTGCTTAGAACCACATTTCAGGAAAGCACGCATCGACATAGCTTCATGTGGTTGCGAGATGTGGGCATCAACAAAAAATGGATCAAAAAGTGTTGAAAGAGTAAGAGCGCATTGTGGAAAACAGGATGTTGAGGTATCCATCAGGAACAAGCTGTGAAATCACGGGACTCAAGGAAATGCAGGTCCTAGTATCAGTTTCAAAAAAGAAAAAGACAGTGGGAAGGAACATTGCGCAACTGATGGATGATCGATCAACTTC